ATCATCATCATCATCATCATTATCATCATCATCATCATCATTACTGTATTGTTATTATTATCATTACTATTTTACTGTATTTCAATTATTAAACTGTTCTTATCTCATCCCAGGAGTTTTTCTCACTCTTACTCCTCCTATTCTCTCCCCCATCCCATCCCATCGGTGTAGGGGGAGTGAGCGAGCAGCTGCGTGGTGCTTAGTTGCTGGCTGGGGCTAAATCACGACATACCCACAGCCAATAAAAATGCTGTACACAACACAAGCATGTTGACTTTGCAGCTCAGAAGAAAAAACACATTGCTTTCTTCTAGGTATCTAAGTATCTGACATCAGAAGCTTGAAAACAGCATAAATTGCCATTAGTACACACAATTCCTTTCATTCATAAAATTATTCACTTTCAAATTTTTATGTATGCAACATGCCAATAACAGAATTCTCTTCTCAGGAAGTGTTGTTTTTTAGTGAAAGATAAGATTTTAAAGTAAAATTACTAGTAAACCAAGTTGAGTAGAAACCCAATAAAATTAGACCAAATTCAAAATGAGATGTCTTTTGACACACAGATTTTGTAATGCAGCGGATAACACTAATAAAATTATATTTAACAGCATGTGATGAGTATGTTCTTACAGTATTTTTGCTGTACAAGGCATAGAAGTCAAATGCAGCTATGCTGAAATTAGGACTTTCAGTTATAGCTGACATCACCCACTGGACATCTTAGGTGTAATGGAGACAGTTGTACATGTACACCATCTTCCCCTGAAACAGAGGTACTTGACAAATTCTGTAACAAAAATAATTCTTTCTTTCTGTGGATAAGATTTTAGGAATTAATATTCTACAAGAGCTAGGAATAAAAGCGCTCAGCCCTGCAGGGAAGTACTTGGGGATACTGGTGGACGAAAAATTGGACATGAGCCAGCAATGTGCACTTGCACCCCAGAAAGCCAGTTGTATCCTGCATCAGAAGCAGTGTGGGCAGCAGGTCGAGGGAGGTGATTCTCCCCCTCTGCCCTGCTCTCATGAGACCCCACCTGGAGTACTGTGTCCAGATCTGGGGTCCTCAGCACAAGAAAGACACAGACCTGTTAGAGTGGGTCCAGAGGAGGGCCATGAAAATTACCAGAAGGCTGGAGCACCTCTCCTATGAAGAAAGGCTGAAAGAGTTGGGGTTGTTCAGCGTGGAGAAAAGAAAGCTCTGTGGAGACCTTATTGCAGCTTTTCAATATATAACGGGGCCTTATGAGAAAGATAGAGAAAGGTTTTTTTACCAGGGTCTGTACTGAAAGGACAAGGGACAATGGTTTTAAACTGAAAGACGGTACATGTAGATTGGATATAAGGAAGAAATTCTTTATGATGGGGGTGGTGAGACACTGCAACAGGTTTCCTGGAGAAGTTGTGGATGCTCCATCATGGGAAGTATTCAAGGACAGGTTGAATAGGGCTTTGAAAAACGTGATCTAGTGAAAGATGTCCTCTACCCTTAATTGGTTTAGTGGTGGACTTGGTAATGTTAGGTTAATGGTTGGACTGAATGATCTTAAAGGTCTTTTCCAACCTAAACGATTCTATGATTCTATGATTCTATGTCACTGCCCTTTGGCAGAGGAGTTGGGCTAGATGATATTTGAAGATCGCTTCCAACAAAAACTACTCTGTGATTCTATGAAAATTAGATTCACAGAGGTCCAAAGTCAAGTTGGGGAACACTAGTTTTATTCTCTGCACCACTGACCTTGCATTTTTCATGCTTAATTGTTACAGCAATTTTTTAACAAAGATGTTAACCTGGACTTAAAGATTGTTAGTGATTGAGAATTTATCAGTGTTTTGTGAGTTGTCCCATGGTTACTCTTACTGAAAAACAGGCCTTTTTTTTCTAGTTCAAATCTGTGAATTCAAGTGTTAGTCTTCTGCCTTAAGTTTGCTGCAGCAAAAAATCCTGTTTCCAGACTGTGATTTTTCATTGGTAAAAATTGACAAGCACATGGACTTGTTCACTGTTCAATGAACTTAAAAATGCATGCTTTCTATTTATGCTATTGCTTTTTGTCTGAATGTTCTCCAGTTTGTCTGCATCACTTTTATCTGTGAACAGCAGAAATCTTTCAAGTAAGATTAGCAGCAATGCTAAATAAGTACTAATGCAACTTCTCTATTCAGTTATCTTCTGATTATATATACAACAATTCTAACACTAGAATTTGCACTGGGAACTTTTGTTTAGTTAATTATGTTCACACCCCTAGTTTTTCTTAAAGTTACAACTCTTATAATGGACATCTCCATTCTATAAACACAGCAGTTGTGCTTTCCATTCCTATGATTTCCAGTGGAACATATTAGACTACAGTAGAACTCTAGAAATAGAATTTCAAGCAATGCCAAGTCAGATGTCTTACAGAAGTTTATTACATCAATATTAATACCTAACCAACCAAATTTATAATTTCATTAAAAGAAAGTTTGGTAGGATACTTTCAGATAGACTGATTTCTATAAGCTCACTTTGATTGCCACTATTTTATCATATTTCAATATCTTCATAATAAAAAAAAAAACATTTCAGATCTTCCATTATTCTGTTTCAGATCAATGTCAAGATTTTCTGGAGTCTTTTGAAACTTTCTTTTTGTTCCAGGATTTGCTTAAAATCAGCATTAACACCTAGCGACCAAATGGAGAGGGTTTCATTTTTTATAACAATATAACTGCGGAAGTTTGTGACTGGAATAAATGTCACACTTAGTATTTACAAATTTTCTTCTTTCAACAGAATGAATGTTAAACAGTTAAAAGGAAAGAAAACATCAAAAGCAGTATGGAAGTCTTGAGAAGCACATCCTTTGTGCTTTGCTTTTTAAATATGCATGACTTAAGTGGCAGTCTACTGCAGAAAACTGGACATAGCTTATCTATAATAAAAAAGCAAGACATAAATATCATTTCCCCTAACTGCACTCATAAGTTTAAGAGTATTTAAATTCTCTATTTTGAGTCTAAAGTCTCAGTCTTATCTTTTTAGATTAAAATGTATTGATTTAATAAACAAAAATATATGTAAAACTAGGTTTCTGAAATTCTACATTATATACACTTACATAATTATATGTAAACAGATTATTAAATAGCAGGCAATATAACTTTCAATCCAGCAAACTCATTTTTATACAACTTGGAAAATTCCAATAAATGTCCACAAAATCCTGTAATCTGAATCCATTAATAGAATACCTTTATCATGATTTTGCTGACAGTGCTCATGCACCCTGCTTAGTCTTTAAAATCTTATTTAATACAATGTTATGTTATAAGACTGCTTAGCATAGAAGTGTCAGTCATGTTGGTACTTGAATTTGCGAACAGGTAAAAGCCCATAATATGCTTGATAAAAGCAGCAGAATTCCTACAGTTTGTATATATAAAGTTGTGGAAACTTATCTAAACTGAAAATCCCGAGCAGGACAATTTCCTTCGAGAACAGAAAGTAAATGCAAACAACTGTGTATGTGTTCACACTTTAAATATTGTAAAGAACTAAATGTGTTATTTGGTCTTAAGAATACAAAAGATCACTTTCATTTTCTAAATAATCTATCCCCTTTTATAAAATCAAATCTCTTTTTAAGATGATGATATATGTTCCACTGTTTCAGCTACAATGTATGACATCTTCATCCTGAGGGCATCTATGTCTGTGTATATTTCATTACAGTGAATATTTATTTTTTATATGTAAATTAGTGGCTGTTGTTGTGGACTTGAAAATAAATATGTTGATTTAAAAGGTGAAACAGCATCTTATGAAGGTTCTACTGCTCTTTGTTTTATCTGTAGTTACTGAGAGCAATTACAGTAACAAATAAAAAAATTCATAATGATTTTGAAGTGCTTCTTGCCATCTGTGATTTCCAGGGTGTTCTATTCAGGCAGATAAAAATAGAGCTATTCTGATATTAACTAGTGATTTAGAGATTTTTGATCTTCAGAGCTGAAGACTGAGCAATACTTTCGTAGTATAGGAAGGAGTAGAATCTGTGAAAAGAGAAAAAAGAAATACATCTCATACTTCAGCTATATAATCCAGCACAAATAAATGGAGCCCTTAGCTAGAAACAGCTAGGTTTGGGTTTATTTCAAAGGTACTCTGCAAATTATCTCTGTGTTATCTTTCAGAAATTCTGCTGGCTCATATTATACAGAAGCAACTCCTTTTCCAGTCTGCTTTTCAAAATCAGGTATCGGCATAATGGGTAACACAAGATTTCAGAAGCAGGAAATCCAACAATGATTCATAATCTGACCTCATCATAAAAAGCATGGAGGTAAGTTTTGTCTAGGAAGGCAGAAAAGTGTATCCCTGACCTGCTTTGCCCCAAAGGAGTATAAAGCTGGCCTATGCAGGCTAAATGCAGGTTTCAGGCAGCTTGACAGCCATTATCCTAGACTCCACATTTCATAAGTATATAAATACAAATCCATCACTACATATTTCATGAGTATCTCTAAAGCCAAGTTATGATCCCAGTTTTTCCTCCATTCCTTCTCTCCATTCTAACCACTGTTGCTACCATTATTAGAATCTGGCACTTTTATAGCAGACTTCACTTTAGAAGTAGATGGCTTGAATTCTCAAATGTGCAGCTTATGGATGTTCAGTTACAAAAGAACAGTATCAGAACATGAAAAGTATGCTACAGCCACATTCTGTGGCCTTTCTTTACATTTTTATGAGGTCTTGTAGTACCACTATACAGACCACTTCCATGAAATGCAAGGAATGAAAAGATATCATAAGATTCATTCCACAAAAATTCATTTCTACACACAAACTCTGAAAGGGATTTAAACAGAGTCTATAAGGGTATTTTGGCTCACAGGAAATTTTCCCTTTGTTTTCTAACATGTTTTACTAAACAAGACTCAAGAGATTGACAGTTACTTAATTACGGTAAATATAAGACAGAATAGCAAAATAAAGTCATATGTAAACTTTCAGGTGCTGTGCAATAAAGACAAATGCAGTGATTTTACTACAATAATTTTACAGTGGTTAAACAATTAGTACATTGATACAGATACACTGTTAAAGAATGTTCTATGCAATGCAAAGGGCATCTTATATATACACTGTGTTTGTTTTTGAGGAGGAGAAGCACTTCTGCAGGAATTCAAAATCACTAATGCTAATCCCATGAGAGGTAAGTAAATCTGGAGAATCAGGATAATCATTGCATACATTATCATTGAATTAGGGTTAATGCATGTACAAACATACCATTAATTTTGTATACATTTGTTCAATATCAAGTGTTTTAGTTAGCACCCAAACCTTTAACCAAACACATTCAACATTTTCACTTTCAGTCTTATTTAATACCATAACAGAATATAACAGTTTAAGGGTACATTGCTTGTACTCTTAAAAATTAATGTTCCCAATGTGTGTCTGCATTTATATCCAAGATAGCAAGAAGTTTACTGCAAGTTAACACATACCCCTTTCCTTTAGGTCTTCAATGTATGCTTTCATAAACTCTTTCTCAAATTGCTCCCGTTCACGTTCACTTTGTATAATTTCTTCAGTGTCTTCACATACGATAGTTTCAACTGGACTGTCCTTGAGACTTATGAATCTACAGAGAAATTAACACAAGAATATATGCAACAGGCTTCTGAACATCACTGGCCAACATGTATGACATTTTAGAAGTTCCTATTACAGCCAGAAGGGGAAATGTAAAGAACATTTGCTCAATTTTGGTATTATGGCATTGTTAGGATCCATCTATTATTAGAAATAAAGATTTCAAATGGCACCTTCTCTATACTCCACTTTCAGTATAAAAATGATCAGATTTATCTCTTTCTTTTCACCTATCTACATAAATCATTCTTTGCAATAACAGGTATATTTCTTTAGAATCATAGAATCATAGAATCGTTTAGGTTGTAAAAGACCTTTAAGATCATCCAGTCCAACCATTAACCTAATGTTACCACGTCCACACTAAACCAATTAAGGGTAGACTAGACTAAACCATGTCCTGAAGTGCTACGTCTACCCATTTTTTGAACGCTTCCAGGGATAATGGAATGTCTGACAGACTACACTCATATCTTTCATATCTGTTAATGAGCAGTATGAACTCCATCCTAACAACATTGCCTAGCAATCTGGAATTTTGCCAGTATCACTTCACTAACAATTTCACTGACACTTCACTGACACTTCGCTGACACTTCACTCTCCATTTTTTGATTGTTGTTATGTTACTTCTCTTTTACAATGCATGACTGGATGTGTATTATGTCGTATTTGCAAATTTCCTAAAGCTACACATGGCTGGTGAAAAAGTAGACAGTTACTTAAACAACTTACATAATGTGCAAATTACATGCACAGCATTCTGAATATCTCTGATCATATTGCCACTCCAAGAAGGAAAAAAGTCAATAAAATTGTTACTTCCAAAAGAACAAATGTTCCACCAAATCATACGGCTTTTTAAAATCTCATTAATTACTGTGAGTCTCTGGTCAGTTGACCTTGGCTGGCTAGGCGCCCACCAAGAAGCTCTCTCACTCCGCCTCCTCAGCAGGACAGGGGGAATATATAAGATGAAGAACTCATAGGTTGAGATAAAGACAACTTAATGAAGAAAAGCAAAAGCCATGTGTGTAAGCAAAGCAAAGCAAAAAAAAAAAAAAAAATTATTCTTTACTTCTCATCAACAGGCAATGTCCAGCCCCTTACTGGGAAGCAGGGACTCAGTATGTGTAGCAGTTGTTTTGGCAGACAAACACCTTAATAACAAATGACCCACTTCCCTTCTCCTTTCTGTTAGCTTTTATTGCTGAACATGATGTCATATATTATGGAATATCCCTTTGATCAGTTTGAGCCAGCTGCCCCAGCTATGTCCCCTCCCAACCTGTTGCTCATCCTCAGCCTACTGATCTTTTTGGGGGAGGGCTGGAGCCTTGATACTGTGCAAGCACTCCTCAACAGTAGTCAAAAACCTTGGTGTGTTTTCAGCGCCATTCTAGACACAAATACAAAGCCCAGCACTATAAGGTCTGCTATTGGGAAAGTTAACTCCATCCCAGCCAGACCCAGTATAGAGCCTCAAATGGTTTCATAATCAAAAACCTGAACATTGTCTGCAGAAATGCAAGATCATTGTAATTGCAGACTAAAAGGCCTTTTAGTCTTATACTGCATGCAGCAACAAGGTGCTGTTTCACAACAAAGAACATATGAACTACTAACCTCATGTGACGCTATTATCCTTTTAACTAGCCATGTCTCCCACTCCCAGCAGCATACTTTTGACAGCACTGAGCTTATCAACAGCTAACTACCAGACTACTGGCCCCACTCTGGGGTATGGTTCTGTGACTCCAGAGTTAGAGCTACTATGACCAAGTCTACACAAGAATAGCAGTTTAGGCATACAGATGCACAATGTGGGAAACAGGCCAATGAAAATCAGAAAGCTGCGGCTCCTCTGCAATTTCCAATCTCTCTAATATCTCCTTAAGGGCTCTGATATATATTGGATCAGAATTTGACCACCAGGTATGGTAGAAACTGATGCTTGTGAAAGTATTTCTCCTGCATGCATCTAGCTTATCTTCTTAAGATATTCGTTTCTTTCTCACTTTTACTTACTTTAAACCTGTGGTTGACTCACAGACGGCTGTGGGTATCTCAACCAGGTCATCACCACTGACAACTAACAAACTGAGCTTTGGCATATTGACCAGAGCTCGTGGAAGGTAAGTTAACTTGTTTTTCTGTAGGAGAAGCGTCTGCAGTTGATCTAACCTGTAAAAATGTAAAATATAAAGATAACTTAAAATATTTATTTCAGACAGGAGCATCTAACCAAAATAACAATACAGACTTAATCTTGTGTAAAAGAAGAACAATTATATATACCATCTTTGGCTTCTCAAAAATTACTCATACCACAATTTCACAAACTGTCATCAACTTTAATGGAAAGCTCCAGTCATGGTTCAACATTATAGACACTAATAGCATACCTCTGACAAGTACTCAGAAGCATGCCCAAGATAAAATGTTACAAACATTACTGTGCTTTCATACAGATGATGTTGACAGAATATGATATAAAGCCGCCCCATGTATATCGTGGGACTAATGAAAAATATGGGTCACCAGCTCACATCTTTGCCTATATGCTGGTTTCTATGAACTAGATACGCCCATGCTAGGCAGTGTATTCCCAGCTATTGTTTTTCACTAGTAATTAGTACTGTGGGGAGCAAGACAAAGGCAAGCTCCTAGTCATATGGCTCTTCAAGTTGTCCCACTGAAATCAATTTAATGACAATGTATTGTGAAGGAAGGCATTGGGCTTCTTTTGCTTTGTTTTGCCTGGCTTTTCCTAATGCAATAGTAATTTGTGGCTGAACATTTATTCCTTGTAATAGAAGATGAAAAACATAACAAACAAGTTTGTCTCATTTGACCAGAAGGGCCCATTCCTAAAACACTGTTGCAGGCTATTGCTTATCAGGCCTGTATAGTTTGTTTGAATTCAGGGAAAGATATTAAGATATTCAGTTTACTGTGAACTCATCTTTTTTAATCACAGGCTTCATGGTAGTTCATGGAGGTTCTTAAACACTTCAGGCACGGAAATCATGAGTCTGAATAAGAGGATCAGTTTTCTGGTGGCGGGGGGATGGATATCCTGACATTTTCTAGTCTTCAGAATGCACATGAGCCCCGAACAGTTCAAAATTCAAAACCCCAAATTAAAGAAAATCTTACTTTGTGGTGTCTGATTATGATACTTTAGTATCAAGGCTGGCAACTCAGTAAGAAATGGAGAAGATAAAATGTAGAAAAGGAATATTTAAGAGGTAGAGAAATATATACAGGTTACACGGAAAAAATGACCCTTAGGTTGAGTGGGTATCCTTCCATAAAATAAAAATACCCTCTTAGAAGCTCTTTGAAGTTAATCAAATCTCTGCTCAGATCCCCTGGAAAAAAAGGTTTATGCTGTTGTGGCTAGAACATGTGAATTACTAATACAAATTAAGACTTCAGCCCTGCTGTCAGAAAAATCTGTGATTACACAATGTCCCAAAAAGTCTTTTTGCCCAGCAATAAAGGTCTTGCAAAATTTAAGGTTGAATGAGTTCTATGTGAAGTTTCTTCTGCCTCAGGGATCTTTATTCCCAGATAAATAAACAATCCATTTTTTTTTTTTAATAAACCTTAGTTAATATTTGTTTTGTTTTACTTATGACCATGTAAAGTTTTGTAAACCAAGTTGCAACAGGACTCCAGAGTGAATAAATTGGCCCAGGGATAAGAAAAGTGCTTTCTCAAGCTAGTAAGTCCCAGTTAAAGGGATCAGCATGATTTTTTTTTTTAAAACTAGTTCTAGTGGATCTCTGAATTGAGAGAGTGACTATACGTGTGCACATGCATATATACTTCAGAGTACAAGGGGAGGATTGTCAATGTTTTTTTTTTTTTATTTTACCAATATTTTTCTGCTTTACTGCTAAAGTTTATCAGGTTCTTTCAGTGACTTAAATATCCTTTAGTTCATCTTTCTCTCCACCCCGCCTACCCTCCAGAGAGATACTGCTGCCAACTCCATATGGTAAGTCCCCTTAGCTGGGACTGGGGCAGAGTATGCCCCATGAACTTCCCAGATAACAATGCCCGGAAACAATGACAAATTATCATAAATGCGGCAGAAAATGTAATTAGTTAACTGAACAATAGAGGCACTAACGGCACAATCTGCCATCAATGAGCTAGAAAATATAGTTTCTGTTCTCTGACCTAGTACATCAATAATGATGGTAAAGCTTCCGTGCAAAACTATATGATGCATTTCCAAATGTGATATTTTTCATGTGATTTTTCATTAATGGAGTCCCTTGGAAGCTTGTTACTTTCCAGATTTGCTTTATAGTTCACAAGCCTGTCAATTAATTAAAACATACACTACCTGTCTATGTCTTCTGGGAGATCTTTCAGGTTGTTGCTGCTAATATCCAACCACTGCAAATTAGACATCCGGAGTACACAAATTGGAATAGAATGGAACTTGTTTGCTGACACATCCACAACCGTGACTTGTTTCAGGTTACTAAGCTAGAAAGAAGTGGTGCTTTATTTTAGTTACATTTTGCAAATACAAGAAGACATTTTATTTATCAAACATCCTTATTCCTCTCAAAGCACCTAGAAAAATAAGAATTGCTTTTTTTTTTTACTCAGCTTTTTGACAGTCTTATCTCTTCATCATCATTTTATAGGAAAAATTATTTCAGAAATAGCTACCTCCCAAAGTGTTCATCACCTTCCTCACACTGTCATGGTATTGAAAGAAATTTGAGTTCGTTCCTTCCTAGGTTATATATGAACTAAGCCCTGAAGTGCAAAACACACATTGGTAATTAATAGATGCCACGTTTCCATTCTCAAAATTAGAGATTGTATAACTCCCATTAAAAATACATAGATTTCCTTTGCTATAACTCTGTTATACATTGATAGTGTATTGCTAGGAGACCCTTAGGAAATGAAACGGCCAATTTAAACCAACAGAAAATTTGGTCCAATATTTTTCAAAGATCTTTAAAAAGACATTTTCCATACTGCAAACTAAATACATAATAAGGTGCAATAGACCTTTTTATTTGAATACTTTTCAAAGGAATTACATTTTTAAGTAATAAACCTTTAGTGCAAAGAAGGTTAACTACAAATGTAAAATATACCTGTTAAAGAAATAAATGTGTTAAATAAAGCTCTCTGTGTGCTGAATCAATTATTCACACTACCAGTGTTCATAAAACCATGCAGCTAGCTAAAGTGAATGTCAAAAAAGTATAAATGTTAACCAAAAAAAGTACTTTAGAATGGAAATCATGTCTCTGAGCTGCTAATCATAAGTCACCATCACAATGTAGCTCTATAGATCCTGATACAGAAAAGAAAGTAGCAAAAAAATTTCATTCATCTTTGCCTGAAGGTTTCTTAGAATGTAGAAAATAATTAGGAATGAAAAACCCCAAACCAAATACATTTTTCACTTACGAAGTAAGCAAAATGCAAGCAACAGCATAAATTATGAAAAAAAAAAATTATAAAGTAATAAAATACATTCTGAATCCTTGAGAAGGTTTTTATTATTATTATTATTATTTATTAAGAATCAAGTCCTGGTTTGTTATATTTTATGGCCAAAATTCTTCTTACTGCAGTACTGTCAGACTTCCATCTTAATTTGACTCTTGTCATTTAAAATGCTCACATTCATAGCTTGGTGCTATGTTGGAGCCAGTTTGGTCTGGGATTTCTTGGTGGTAGGTTGGTTTTGGTTTTGGGTTTTTTTTTTTTGTGGGGGGTAGGTTTTTTGTTTGATTGGGTTTTTGGTTTGTTTTTTCTAGATATAACCTCATATTGCTGCCAGACCTTAAAATTGGGGAACTCTTTTCAGGGAGATTTACTGAACTTAATGTATTACAAATGACTACACAATTAAGTTTACCTTTCAAAAATAAAATAGAGGCTCAGCGTTCCTCAAGTCAAAGATATAATTTCAAAATCTGCACACCACAGCATTAAAAGACCCTTGGTGAGACATTGCCATGGAAATGTCTCACTCCTGATTCAGAACAGGCAAGCACACATTTTATTCTGACACTTCTCACTTCCAAACCATTTTGTCATTTTGAGGACTGACTACTAGCAATGAACACTCACTCTTATGCTGTAAATTTTCCAGATACTGAATCTTTTTTCCAACAAAACAGAACCTCCCTTTGAACAAGGAAAGCAGAGTAACTCTTCTAGATTGTAGCAATGAGAGTATAGACAAAATAATTGACATCATTTTTACACTGCATTTACTTTGTGGTTTCAAATTATTGTCACAATTCCAAATCCCAAGCAAATATTTCAAGTTTCTCTGCACTCAGAACAATTGGCTGAAACTGCTGACAAATTTCTTTCAGCAAACTCTCCCTAGAAGAAATTTAGCAGGCACACAATTGAAACAATGTCCTAAAGGCTCAAATGCCACCCAAAATGTTCTCAAACCATCCCCAAAGAAGAAAAGTCACTGTCTCTAAACACCAAGTGGCAGATTATTTTAAAATAAATTGACATCACTGTTCACCCAAGTTCCTAAACACTTTGCTTTCACATGCAGTCACTTGTCATGCTGAAACAACTTGGTAACATTAACACTGTGTGGTAAAATGATATTTATTCAATAGCAGTAACTAGTTTTATATGTTTTCTTGAAAGTGCTTTATTGCATTAAATATTAAAAGTAACAATAATATAGCAAATTTTTTTAATAAACAGAGCTGTTTCTACCATTTTTCATGTAGTATTGAAAATAGATTGTTTTAATACTTGATTAGATCAAAAACTGTATTTTTCAGGAGTTTGTATTCCCATAAAAATGTACCAACAAAATATAAGGCCATGGACTCTCTTGATATAAAATTTGGTTCAGCATGCCACAGAATATATGGAGCCATGATTATATTGTGTAAACTGCAAGCCCTCAGTACGTGTTCTTTTAGGACAATTTAACAAAACCTGTCCATTTTCTATAGTATGTTGAAACCTAATGGGGTTTTTATTTAATCTGTATCTGATACGTTACCAGGAACACCTATGATATACGATGCATTGGAAATTATGGCAGCTATGTATTATATTTTCTAAAGAAAACCCTGTGTATTTTATTTCTTCTTGAAGGACTGATGGATTTTTGCACCTTTATAACATTTCATTTTCAACAAGCATGGCTCCCTTATCATTTTTACATTATAGTTTATTTTTCCTTGACGTTGATTTTTGCTATTTTCTTCTATTATTTGACTTTGAATCAATCAGTATATAGGCTTTAAAGTTCCATTTTAAAAAATAACTATATTTGATAGTCTAGCTATCTGGACCCACTTATTGTGGTCCTCATGTTTAATCACTGTTGTCATTTTTATTTGACAAACTGCCCCATTTTGCTTATCTTAATAATTTTGTTCATAGAAATAATCCAGATAACGTTGTAGAACTCCACTGCTTCTCTCACCCTCTGACAGTTAAACCTTCAGTTGAAAGAAAAGGACACCATGTCCTGGGCTGAACACGTTATTTGATTAATGGGTGTGTTTTTATTTCTGTTCGGCTTTTTGCCATGAAAGGGATTTACTGATAAGGTTGCATGCAAGTTTATCATGAGTTGCCTGCTACCTAGCACCAACAAATAAAAATGTGTTAAGTCATGTGTGATGGATGCACTCGACCTCTTGACCAGACTGGCGGGGGTTAGGTGCAGGATATGGAAGAGGTAAAGGCCAGAGCCATAGCTGGGCTGTGACCTCTAGTTTCAGCCTATTCTCTGAAAACCCACAAAGGAGCAGATGACACAGTGAGCATCGATGCATATGAGCTTGGAACACAGATCATGCAATTTACACATGAATACTGGTTGGTTTTTCCCAAGACTCATTTATCAAGGAACAAAGAAAGTTGTGGGTACAAGGAGTCTCCTGCATAGCTTCTCCATGGCATTCAATCTGACTACAAGCCAACTACTTTATCTTATAAATATGACAGCCCAAGTGAGCCTTCTTCGAGCTCTCCCTGCAAGGCAGCATGGCTGCATGACGGTGATCTCCCATTGAGCTGGGACACCTCTCAGGACTGCTCCTCGAGGCAGAGAGACCTTTCACCAATGGCAGATCTTTGGTAAGCAACCAGTATCCTGCATAACCTTTTGTATGGTAACTTTGATTTTGTCTTGGTAATTTTGATTGCATGCTGAATTGATGCTAATGAAATATTACATAAACTTTGCATGTACAATCCTTTAGACATAAACCATTCACCAGGTCTGAGACTAAGATTGGACCTAGCTGCACCTAAGTTCCATCAGGAGTTCAGAAAACAAGGGGGTCTACTCTGAATCTCAAGAGTCAATGGGAGGGTCCTCTTTGCTCTGTGCATCTCTGGTCTCTCTATAAATCATTCTAACTCAAGTGTAGCTCAATTTTCCTTTGTATGATTCCTCCATGCAGTAATTACTAGAATGAACCTTGCCACTGAACTTTGTTAAGTTTCACTTTCACAACATCATATTAAACCACTCTTACTAATACCTTTGTTGGTGATTCTTTAAGCGTCTAAATCACACATTCATGACAAACTGGCATAGTTGGCAGGATCCTAAATCAGGATTTGCAACATCATGTCAAGCCTTACCACAAAAATACTGTGTTTTCCAATTACATGTAAATATTCTGTGACAGAAACAGCATCCCATCAAAGTCAATATATGACAAAACATACAAAGGATTAACCCGGAAATGTCTATCAGTGCATTACAAACATGCTTTTGCCCAGAAATTTTAGACTTAATGTATTCAAAGAAAATTTGTACCACTTTAGTAAGATCAGATTATCACATATGTTGTCTCCCAAAATGCATAGACTGACACTCAGTGTCTCATTAGCTTGCTGAAAGCAGTATGGTGTATATGACAAAGGAGCACCCTAGGTGCAAACTGCACAGTGGCTCACTTAGATGTCATGCATTCAAACCAAATCCCCAGCTTTTCTTTCACAGAGCTGCAAATTTAACCTCTTCTATAATCTCATTGACATTCCTGGAGCAAAACACCAATTAAAGAAACAGGGTACAAGTATCTTTAGAGGCAGAAGATAACTTTCATTAAGATATACTTGTATATTTATATCCCAATCTACCATCGGACTTCCAAACTGGACTCTTAAACTTGAGGAGGCAAAGGAATTTAACAGTCAACCCCACCCCTTAGTAACAGGGTACTTGTTCATGTATTTTGTGACAAAACCCTCTGAAATGTAAAAATGCATGACTTCAAACAGTATTTCATTTGGTGGTAACACAATAAGCTAAATCCAAGAAATGTATGTGGAAGCAAGTCTTCACCCAAATGGCATTATTCTGATTTTGTAATTCTAAAATCCTAAATCTTTTGCAGAGTTAATCCACAAACAGATGTTGTTATTCTGATGCCAAATGATTTACTTGGAAGTTTAACATTATACACCTTCATCTTTGGAGCAGTGCTAGGTTAATGGTTGGATCC